CTACTACTGCTACTGCTACTGCTACTACTACTACTGCTACTGCTACTACTACTACTGCTACTGCTACTACTACTACTACTACTGCTACTACTACTACTACTACTACTGCTACTACTACTACTACTACTACTGCTACTGCTACTACTACTTCTACTGCTACTGCTACTACTACTACTACTACTACTACTACTACTACTGCTTCTGCTACTACTACTACTACCGCTACTGCTACTACTACTACTACTACTACTACTGCTACTACTACTACTACTACTGCTACTGCTACTACTACTCCACCTGGTGCCCACAGTGCACCAGGTGGAGGTGGGGTTTGATTGACCAATACTACTACCACTACTACTACTACTGCTGTTGCTTGTTTGTGCATACAACTGATTTTTACTGTGATTAATTATGATTTTAATGACTTTTTTTGTTTCTATCATGTCTTGTTCAGCACTTTCATTTGCCTTGTATGAACTGTGCTGTACAAATAAACTTGCCTTGCCTTGTTGATGACAACAACGATAATAATAGAAATAATAATAATAATAATAATGATAATAATAATAATATAATAATGATGATGATGATAGTAATTACACAGAGCCACTATGGTTGTGCCAAAAGCTGGGTCACATGTCACCTCCCAGTCCCATGGAGCAGACTTACAGCTATGAAATTGCCTAAGCCAGGATTGGAAGCATCAGTGCAGTCATTGCAGTCATATATCAGCCTCCACTATTCCCCTTATCTGGGCCGGCTCTAGCACTGCCACAAGAAGACTCACTTGCCAACTTCAAAGACATGTTTGGGAAAGCTGCTTAAGCTCGCTTTAAAGGCCGACACACATCCCCCAAACACTGCGCTGTTATTGGACCCAGTGTGGGAACGGCAGGCTGCTCTAACGATTTAGCCAGTTCACGGTGTCCTCACAAAAAAACATCCTAAAAGTCCTGGCCCTGTGAAACCAGAGATGAGCTGTGCAAGAGTGGCAAAACCAGAGCAGAGACACACAAGGAAGGGAAATCTACAGATCCAGGTTACAGTTTGATGAGAATGTTGCTCTTTTGCCTCAGAACATTTTTTTTTATACTGAGTGGTTGAGTGTTAATCATAGAACAACTTATCCCTTTAATGATTTCCTCAACCATTTGGTGGATAACTTTTTCAGTCACTATATCTATTTGAAGCTTGGAACTGAAATCTACCTCATTGGGGCAATCAATCTATCTATGTGCAGAAGCCAATACTTTTCCCTTGTTTTGTCTATCTGAAGGCCAAGCTACAAGCACACCGTGGCAGCTGCTGATTGGAGGTCTCCATGCCTCCGCTCTGTATAATACACTTGCATTCTATTGTATCTGTGATCGTGTGCTTTGTTCGTGCTGTCTCTACCATCGACAATAAAACATGTCTTCTGTCGGAATTTATGACACAATCCCAGACATGTCACCTTCTTCAGGTGGTGGAAGGATGCGGGCCTTGTCTGTAACATCTAGAGAACAGAAGACTTTTTTTTTTTTTACAAAAAAATGTGTTTTTTTTTTTCAAGCCAAAACTGAGAAACCTCAAGAGAATGCATCTGGATCAGCCCATGGACAATCTGCACAGCCCCTGATTCCAATCAGGCTGTGAGCTGCTGAGACATGGACAATACCAGCGTCCTCTTTTGCATGGACATAATTTGGAACAATTGGATTACTGAATTTGGACATAATTTGGACTGAATTGATTTGCTAAATCTGAACACTGAAGCTGAAACGTGTGATTGAAAGACACGTCACAGAAGAATTCATGGCTCGACACAAATGCAGCCTGAAGAAATCAACACGGAGAAGTGGGAGAGACTGTTTTCAAAGCAATATCTGGAACCACCATCGACTGATGAAGTTTGGTATTTTACTGAAGATTGTTGACAAGTTTTATGAAAGATCTGAACATGTTTTATGAGTTTTATGAGTTTTTGAAGTATTCCGAGTTCTGAGTTTTTTGAAGTACCGAGTGAAGTACCGAGTTTAAGTATTGAGTTATGATGTTATGTTGCTGTTTATCGATCCTGATGGTCACACGTGAATGTATGACCAGAGGGGGGAATGTGAGATTTCATAACACTTTTAAGCAACTTTTGTTAAAGTTAAACTCATCAATCTATCAATGTGCAGAAGCCAATACTTTTCCCTTGTTTTGTCTATCTGAAGGCCAAGCTACAAGCACACCGTGGCAGCTGCTGATTGGAGGTCTAATGCAAGTGTATAATACACTTGCATTCTGTTGTATCTGTGATCGTGTGCTTTGTTCGCGCTGTCTCTACCATCGACAATAAAACATGTCTTCTGTCTGAATTTAAGACGCGATCCCAGACTATGTCATCTTCTTCAGTATGTCATGCACAATACGAGTTTTTGAGATTTTAACCATGTTACAACATTGTTTCTCTTCTTGTTGATGGTTTAAAACTTCTGGCAAAAAAAATATAGCTTAGCCCCTTCTGTCTAAACGGACCTGTGACAGTCTTGTGATAGTGTGATGTCATTGCACCACTATGACATCACTCTCAGAGCAGTCATTTACCATTTAAAACAAAGTTGAAGACAGCAAGTTGCAGTCTGATTTGTTAATGACCTTTTTCTTTTACATGACTCTTTCTGTTGGGACTAACAGAATGCATGCTTTATGAAACCAAAAGTTAGGTACCTCCGCCGTAAGTTTGTGCGTCTCTTCTGCACCTGTCGCTTCTGTTCTGAGCTCTGAAAAAAAGTATCCATCTTCTCATTGGGCATCTTCACAAACCTGTTTGTTTCCGTGGTAATGGCTGTTTCTTTGTCTGCGGTCTACCAAATATGGCATTAAATGTATATTCAATAGACAATGTTCCAAAGTGTGGTTTTTACTCTATATTTCTAAAGTCATGCAGGTCATTTTCCACCTATAGAAATGTATATACTGTTTATTTTTTGTAAGTGTATGAATCAGGAATATCAGTTATGTAAATTTGAATGTAAAAAGTCTAAATCTTTGCATAGTTGATCTTGTAAGGACTCATCCACAAAACTATTAATTCTGGAGCAATGGAGACACAACCCTGATACAAAATACATGATGCCCACTCAAAAAATAGAAACTTTTTTTCAAGTACTGTAAAAAGTTGCATAATATAAATATCACTTTTTGACGTTTTGGGCACAGAGCTGATGGGCCGAACGAGGCTGGTCCCCTCTTTTCATCACAGGGCTCTTTCTTAACTATCCAAAATATAGTATCATGTTTTCTAATGAGATAAACACAGAATGCGTCTGATTCACAGGATTTTACCTTTCCGTTTGTACAAACAAAATCTATAAGTTCCACACCCAGCTTTTAGTTTTAGCTCTAATTTTAGCTAGAACAATTACATTTTATTAACGCCTTGAATGAAAATTTGCATATTTCTGTATCAAAACTTCTGATCCTGTAATACATATTTTTCCATAAGTACATTTCTAAAGTACTTCTTCCACCACAACCTTTTGTTAATTGTTGATTTTCCATTGAATAGAAAGTATTTTCAGATTCATCATGTTGTTTTCTGCCAAGTGCCCACATAATCCTTCACTTTGAATTGTTCATTCTCGGAGCGTGCATAATGTGCAAAGATATGACAGTAAACAATGTCAGCCAATAAGAGGAAAACAAACTTTATTTAAAAAAGGTTTATCACACAAAGGCAAATGAAAAAGAAGAAATGCAAACATCTATGAAGACCACAAACTGCTCCAGCTGCAGCCCTCCACTGGCACCAGAGGGATTCCTGTTACAACCAAGTCAAAAGAGCCAAAAAAACAAGTGGTGTTTAGTTCTGATTGAGTTTACTCACACTACATCACAAGGAGAGCGGACAGCAGAAAGATGAAACATCATAAAGGATTTCCACATGAATTCAAACACTGGACCTTGCACAAACATTTCTTTAACATTGAGCTGACGCCGAACAAATGAAACAAGATTCAACTATGTAATACAAATGACTTATCACTTTAAGACAGATTTTACATGTTTCAAATGGGCACTTTGAGAGGAATCAGGCTCAACAAACAAAAATAAAGATAAAGAAAGGAGAAGTCCAGGGTTTTACTGAAGTAACATCAGACCTGTGTTGAGGTAAGCATGTCACTTGGGAAAAGTCAGGAAGCGATTCCCTTTAAAAAGGACTCCCTTAACCATATCCCCACTCACTTTGTAATTCGCCTTGACAGTAAATCAATTCTCAAGCCTGGCCCCTTGGACTCGTCCAAGCCGAGGTCCTCCTTTTTCAACATTCCTGCACACATGAATCACTGCAGCTCCTGGCTTCTAGAAGGCATTTCCTGCCCGGCCCTCTCTCTCCAACTCCTCTGCTGAACAGTTGGGCAGGAACCCGGCTGAGCTTTGATTTGGACCCAGAGGGGGACAGGGAGGAGATCCAGGCCTGAAGCAAAGGCCCCAGAGACAAGAGTGACACAGAGATTTGGTACGTGTTGAGGAGATGCCTGCACTCCCAACTCTGGGACTTAGTGCTTTGTCCTCCAATATGCAATCTCAGCAGCGGAGACGTCTTCCAACAGCAACACTGCCTCTCAGACAGTCCTGAGGCTCCTGCAATGGTTTAAGTACATTCTCTATAGTTCAATATTTCAGTGCGGACACAACTCCATACTGAACAGCACACACATGGAGTTCTCTTATAGATTAATTAAATCTTGAGTTGTTTCAATTTTTTATGGCAAAATGTACAGAATGGGTAGGATTGTACACCTGTTCCACCATAACTGGTACTGTCCATATCCACAGTATCTTTATTTACACATGCATCTTCCCAGAGTGGACTCTTGGTGAGCATAAAAAAGACAGTCTTCAGTATTTACAGGGGTGACTCTCACTCAGATCAGGAGTTCAGGGGGGCTGAGAGGGTGGAGCTGGCCAAAGTGAAGTGCTGTGTGTGTTTGTCTGTGAATGTACAAGTGTGCGTCCTCCTAAAGCCTTCAGATCATGGCTCTTATCACCAGCCGCCCGTTGACCTGGTGCAGATAGGATCTCTGATCCATCTCTAAGCCTGGAGCTTCATCCTCGCTGTCCAGCGGCTCCTCTTTGACCTTGATGACCCTGATGTGGGCGTCTGGATGCTCAGAAGAGCCGCCGCTGCTGCTGCTGCTCAGAGTGTGCTTCCGGATTACACCTGCAGGGGGCATCCTATCCTCCTCCATGTGCTGCTCCTCCTGCTCCTCCTCGGACTCCTGCAGGTGTGTGTTGGGCTGACGTAACTGCTCAATGGACTTGGACAACAGCTGCAGAACACATGGGCCTCATGTTAATGATGACATCCACAACACAAAGCTGCACATCTTAAACCACAGAATGTGGAGATTCACGAGTTAAAAATATGGATATGAAGCCGTCTCTTTCATTGCCTCCGTCACTTCATCATACTACTGCATTTATCCAGTTTCCCTCATCATTATTGTATGAGACATGCAAGTTATCTTTCTCTCTTGCATTTCCTCTCCTCCCTTTGCCACTAGGTGGCTCCACTAATTGGCTTTACAATATGTCTGCAGAGAGGAGGCCACATTATATTTACTTTGAGACTATAGAATTAGCCACCACAGCGTGGCTGAAAATTATTAAACAAAGTGTGTTGCTTTTGAAGCTCTCGTGAGCGCCTCCTACTGTTGCTGATAGGTAGGACAAAGACATCAGACAAACCTCTGGGGAAATTAATTAGGCCAATGTTTCAGAGCTTCTCTTAGTAAACACTGAGGGCTCATCCCTGATTAGGGGCCATTTATAACCACTACTTAAAGAGGCTTTCTTTGCGATCTCATTGGCCTGAGTAATCTGCCCTGGGCCCTTCACGTGTTGCTCTAGTCAAATATAATAAATACAGCTGATAAAGACACTATTTAACTGTTGATTTTCATGCAACGGCCAAATAGCTCAAGCTCTAGATGTTTTTACAATATGTCACTTCTAAGATGATGGGGTAGGAAACGTTCTTGTTCCCAGGGCTCCAAGGGCCGCGCTCTGGGACACATGAGTGGTCCTGGAACACAATGCTGCCTTTCACTTGTGTCTGCCACCTCGCACACGTCCCTCAGCAGAATAATTACTCTCTGTGTAAAAGCCAGGTCACTTCGGCCAACTCGCAGAAACGCAAATATTGGCGCAGAGGAACAAAATGTATTGAGGTCCTTTTCCTTCATTTGAACTTAGCTGAATTGAATTTCACCGCGTTAGCATGAGAACAGCGCTGAAGCCTTAAGCTAAGATAACAGCATTAGTGCACGGGAAGCATTTCTCCTGCATTTGAAGTCCGTCTGCAGCTTCAGAAATAACAGCAGCTTTCAGGGAAGTGAAACTGGAACTTCAGCTAACACAAGGAAAACAAGATGCTTTTGGGAATATAACAGAACCGCAGTGAAAATGAGCTTTGAAGTGCGGATGACAGGCGGAACTCCAATCCTCACTAAATACAGTTAGGATCATTATCTCAGATTGTGCTGCAAAGTGGACAAATTGTTTTGCTATGTTTTTTGTTTATGTGTATCATTTTCCTTCATCACACTCTGGATTCCTTCTTTTTTACTGGGCAAAAACTTTATTTTGCAGGAAAAGTGAACTGTACATTTGATGGCCCGTAAAGGGTGAGGCACCAAACCTTGTTCAAAGAAAATACATTTTGACTACAACATGCTGTCTTTATACAATTAGAAAACATGTTGTCTTTTGCATTCTTAACTGTAAGTCACTAATTGTCACCATTGGACTATTTGGGCTGAGAGAAAAGAGAGATTGTAGAGTTCTGAAAGTTACGTACCCCAGCTCTAAACATGATCTTGAGAATACGTATTTACTTTGACAGAATATGTTTTGGAATGAGATAATATTTTCTACCCACTATGTATGGTTTACATGTATAATTATTTATGGTTAGGTTGAGCAACACAGCCATCTAATGGTAAAGGTTGGAATGACATTTTGACACAATTAAACATCCAACATGGGGATATGTGAAGGCACACGTTTCTGTGATATGCGAAACATTCACATGCCTTGCAAGACCATTTTTGCTTGAAGAAAAAAAAATATAATCGCATTGCAACTTTGTCTGCTAAAGAGCAGAGCCATTGATTATGTAACTGTTTTCTTGAAGCTCAGTCAAAGGGGCGGGGCTAAGGAGACTGAAGGAGGAGGTACTTGATGTGTTTCTTTTATAACATTGATTTTAACTCAATCTTAAAATCTTGTACGAACTATTTATTTAATATAGAGCCACAGGGCCATAGATTATCATTTTATTATTATTATTATTATTGATATCATCATAGATTTGAGTTACGTCTCCTTTAAACAGTGCGGCTGGTGCTAAAATGTACAGCTATGTGGATGAGTGGATGATCGACCTTTAGGGACAATCATGTTTTTCTCTTCTGCATTGGTCGTTCAAACAGTGCTAGGGCAGTGTACCTTGTTGATGTGGATCTGCTGCTGGTACTGCTTCTGCTTCTCCAGGAAGTGCTGGTGCTGCTGCTGGATGACCAGTTGTGCCAGTGTGTTCTGTGGGAGCGGGGCGGACTGCGTGCGGTTCAGGGGCCGGTGTTTTGGAAGCTTGGGCCTGGTGCTGGACGGCCGCTCCTTCATGGCCAGAGGAGACTGCGGCAGGGAGGACATGGAGCCGGGACCTAAACAATCAAAAATCAATAATCATTCACATCATTCATTAAACTCATTATCACCTCACACAGATACACAGAAACCGAGATTTGAGGAATTAAACAATAAGAATAAAGCAAAAGAATCTATAAAGCATCCAAAAATGTGCCAAATGTTATGATGTGTACAGAATCTCCCTCTCCCTGCAGTTGAAAATGTCATGAATATTTTTTTTTTCATTTTGCAAACTGAGGAATAATTGGTGTAAAACCATTATTTATCTTTAAAACAGGTGTCAATCTAACAAATAAAAGTCGACATTTAAAAATCATAATAACTTGTCAATAGCACGTCTGACTCTGTCTGAAGTTTTAAAGATACTTAATACATTCTTTATGTTGGAAAGTCAAGCAAAGGCTCAGGTTTGGCCCAATCTGGAAATGAGTGTGTCAAAGGAAATAACTGCTTTCATTCCAGGAAATACTCAACACTTTTGCAATAAAAAGAAACCAAGAAAGATAAAGAAAGTTTAAACAGAAGCTGTCACTTTGCACCTGTAAAAGTTATTCACAAAACAACAGAGGGATTTTATCTCCATCTGTTTAATGTAGGCAAGGAAAGTTTATTTGCAAAGCACAATTCATACAAAAGGCCACTCAAAGTACTGCACTGTAAAGTATTTGTGTTATATCCATTAAAGCTATCTTACTTATTTTCGGATTCATAAATTCATATTATTTGTTCCAACTGAAAAAGTCTTTTTATGTATCATTTTGTGAAAGAAATCAGACCACAAAATTCTTAAATCAAATCTTTTACATACTGAGAGCTGATTGGCTGGTTAGAGGGCTGGTCCTCTTTTTCACCGTGAAATCAGATATTGGGTAGTTACAAAGGCCAAAAATATGTGCCTGTAAAAACTAGTGATAGATACAAACTGATATGAGCGCGGGGAACTAGTTACATGTATTTCATAAGTTATTGTCTTGTGGTTTCAAATTTAGATACTCCACCTTTAATTATTGCAATAGATATAAAAACGTTATTGATGTTACGTCTGGCCTCAATAAGATCTTGTGCACACGATATCTTAAGTACAACCTCTTTGTAACATTGAGAGTGCAAATGTTTCCTCTGAACCCGAGCATTTGTGTTTCCTTGTGTATGACCTGCCTCTCATGAGCAGAGAGTGGAGTGGTCCTATTGTAAAAGTCCTACAGTATGTGCTACCTGAGGAGAGCATCTTCTGCTGTCTCATCTGCTCCTTCTGCAGCAGATGTTGCAGCAGAGCCTGATGACTGGAGCTGACTTTAGACTCCAGAGAGTGCAGCGGGACCGGCCCCAGCAGGTGTCCCGGGAGCCCGTGCTTCACCTCCGTCGACCGCTCCTTCAGACCCATAGACGCCTGCAACAGAGGAGGCTACATTCATTTGACTGACACTATTTATTCATTCATTTAGATTCAGATTCATTTTATTTGTCATTTTCCATAAAACCACATCGGAACACATGTGTAAATGTCCCCCCGTGTGCACCAGAAAAATATAAATAATACGTTTTAAAAAAAGGTAAAAAGTAGAAGAAACAATTGTCACTGTGATATCAATCAGCGATAACAGTCTCAATACAAGTGCAAGGTCCTTAAAGTGTTTTGTTTAAACTGATAACAGCTTATGGCAGAAGCTGTTAGTGTTTTGTTTTTTTAAATTAGAATAACACAAGTCCACACAGGTTGTGGACAGACACGAATAACAATATACCAAATCGGGAAAACTGCATAAAAAGACATTATTTAGTTACAGCGCTTTGGTGTGGCATTTCTGGTGGCATTAAATTTCGTCTTTTGTGAAATAGAAACACTCTCAAATTGTCTGCTTGGACTAATCTTAATTAGAACATACATAATTAGGTACATATTGTTTTTTATAGATAGTTCTTTCTGCTTGTCCCACTCCCTACTCTTGTAAAAGTAAAACGTTGTGAATAAATTAGACCACAACATGCTGTCTTCATCTTATAAGAAAATGTGTTAACCCTAAATTCTATGTCATTATTTGACTCTTTGGGCTGAGAGCTGATTGGCTGTCAGGGTGGTCCTCTCTTTTTCACTTTTCTGTCTGAAAAAGCTGATCCAAGGTGGTTTGAAAAGGAAGGAACCCCAGCTTTAAGGCATAGTGATTACATATACACATTACACATGTTTTATCTTTATAACAGCAATCACAATAGCTGTTTATTGATTGATTATTGATCCGTCTATCTCCTGCATGAAACATAGATCAGAAACAGACACACATCTCCACCCGTTCATGTGGAATGCTTTCAGAGTGTCGCATGCATTGGATTGTGACGTATCGGTTTTGCCTCATTTACAACACAATACTTCAAAACGGAATTTTAGGAGTAAGTGCAGCTGCTCGAGAGACATCTGAAGAATGTACCAGAATCGGGTATTTATCAAAAAATTAATTAAAAGTGGATTTGGAGCAGAGACTCGGCAATATGATCTGTCCGTACGCCTTTTTCTTTTACTGAACAAAAACAGCAATCTGTCCAATACTATCGTGTGAAACCCAGAGATCAATAGACCAGAACAGACTGGGTGGGGACCATTACAAACTGGATCAAATATAACATCTAAAGTCTTAAATATGGCTGCATCGTGAGGTTTAGTCAAGACCTTTTTTGAAAACGTATAGGGTTGTTTAGAAATAGTAATAGGATTCTTATCTTTGGATATAGATTTTTTTTGGACCAACTAATATCTGATTTTTTCCAAAGATTTTCTAAAGCAAATTCAAATTCAAGACATTTCCAGGGCCTGGATAGTGGGTGGATTTTTATTTCCTCATAACCATTCCAGGTTTTCCACAACTGTACAAACCCTCAATCTTGTATCTACACTTCTCTTTGAGCTGGAAAAAATTACTGAGATTGTTTGAGAGGTAAAAAAAAAAGGGTGATCCAATTGCTGTAAAAACCTTAATATACACCATGGGTATTGTTATTAAATATAACTACAAATACATGTATAATTTCAATTACGTTTTAAATGGACCACATCTAATGACACAAGCTCCCCATTTGAATGTCCTTTTTGCCTATTTTAAAGCTTGTATGGCCTTGAATCGGGCTCTACCCATGTGAAGAACTGTTTTAATGATTTGTAGACTCTGACGATGTTTGTGGATGAGATACTTACACCAGAGAGTCCCAGAGTGATGTTGGGTAAAGAGGGAGAGGTGTAGAGGCTCAGCATGGACACGGAGCCCTCTGGACAGAACAGTCGAGGTTGTGAAGGCCATCGCTGCATCAAACATGTAAAAAAAAAACACACAAATACAGAGAGGAGGTAAGACTGAGGAACTCCACCATTAGCAAAAAAAATATGAAGAAAATGTATGTTAACGTTAGGGCTGTATTCTTTCGATTAATCATAAATCCTGAAAGCTCAGTGAATGCAGAGAATTGTTGTATATATTTGACCAAAACAAAGCTCAAGTGATGCTCCTGGAAACAGCTTCCTATAGATGACTTCCAACACATTGAGTTATTTGACTAAAATAAGGGAAATTTGTTCTCTGCATGTGACCCGTTCTGCAATGCCATTATGGCCTCAGTCAGGAGCAGCGGTCACTACAGTCCAGTGCCCACGCGTCCATCTCCAGATGTTTTTAGTGCTGTATGCGGACACAGGGAGAACATGCAAACTATACAAAGAAAGGCTCAGTTCCGACCGGGATTCGAACCCACGACCTCCAAGCTGAGAAGGGAAGTGCTATAATGGCCCAAATACTTTGTAAACACATTTTTATTTCATTCTGCTGTGATTATAGATTTGTCATAAAAACTCTTCTCAGCATCTGTGCAAGCCTAAAAAATATAAAGAAAAATCAACTAAAACGTTGCAATTAACTGATAAAAAATGTCAAATAAACTATGAATGAGAGTTTTTTCTGACTCTCTGATCATTTAAAGGGCACATCATTAGGGTTGTTCCAGAGAAATCCTTGCAATTCAAATAAAATATGTAGTTAACAAATGGCCTGGTCGCTGTGTAGACCTGGGTTCAGGAGCTCATGAAGCAAATCTGCTACTTAACAAAATAACTCGTTGATGTAATATGGATCTTTTATAACACTTTTGAAGCAATTTTGGTTCGACCTAAGCTTGTCATTCTAACAGAAGCCGATGATATTCTACTTGATATTTAGGTGACTTTTTACCAACAATAAAACAAGACTTCTGCTGTGACACTTTTTTGTCTAATATGCGATGATAAATGCACAGAGAGGAGTATCTGCCTACTATCTTATCAAAAATCCTCACCATCTACAGTATATAATATGACCCAGATCATGAGGAAACCCACTTTGATATGCCTTATATAAGAATTGAATATAGACTGGCCCATCCCGACAGCAGCAGGCTCCCAGCAGGACCGGCCGACGAGGAGAGTCCCGCTCTGAGCACCACTGGGGCACACTTCCTGCACCCCGCTGAGCCGCTCACCAGCATGTGGTTTGGGAACAGCCATGTTTATCCTTCCAACCCCTGCCACTATGCACTGACCTGTACGAGGATATCCGGCCTATATTTGACCCCAGGGACCAGTTCCCTCTGAAAAAGGATACCTAATGTAACGGTGCACAAACACATCATGCTTTTGCTGGAGGCATGAGGTCCACACGCAGCTCTGTCTCTGACCAATCGCCTTCATGAGAGTTTTAGCTCAGGCGGCTACAATAGCAGCCCTGCCTGTTTATGTTGTTAGCATGTGAGGGCTACCAGCGCCTGGAATATCAATTAAAGTGTGCAGTTAGTCTGTCTCCCCTGGCCCTAACCCCGCGCCCCCACGTGCAGGTCGGCTCTCCCCTCTACGTGTCACTGGAGGTCCCTGGGAGAGTAAACAACGGTATTTGAAGGAAAACACAGCTGCTCTCCTAAACATTGTTACGAGATGTGTCATAAGTGCCACCCAAAAAGTATAGCGCTGGTCCAAAGTGACTGGCCACAAACTGAGGCCTGGAGCTGCAGGGTCGGAGGAGCGCACGCAACAGGGACATCAACAAGTTTGTTTGGGAATATTCAAGGGAGTATTTAAATCATCTCTCTCTCTCTCTCTCTGCATACAAATATCATTGTATGAGTTTTTAACCATGTTACAACAGTGTTCTCTCATCACAAACAGACCTGGACCTGGAGAATGCAGTATAAGATGTCCAGCCTCCAAAAGTCAATATTTTTTCTCTAATTGTGTGCCTTCAATTAGACCACACCATCTTGGATTTAGATCAAAATTTGCCAGAATATACCTTCTTGAAGGAGTTTCATCACGTTAGACCTATATTATATATTCATTATACATGTTTGTCCATATATTTTCTATGAAAGCAATAATTTCAAGTTCTAAAACATGAAAATCATTAAAGTTAGGGTGCGTAACTTTGAAACCACAAACAATGAAACTAACTAGGTCCACACGCTCAAGAAAGTTTGGTTCCATTGCTAGTTTTCACATGTATATTTTGACCTCTGTCACATCTTTAGATCAGCTTTTTCAGACAGAAAAGTGAAAAAGAACCACCCTCACTCAAAGATAACATGTTTTCAAAGGAAGACGGCATGAGGTCTGATTTGCTCGGATTTCATTACAAGTATTACAAGGCTCTTTCTGTTGAGACAAATAACATATAGTATGACGACAGAAGTTACGTACCACACTTTAAAGAAACATCATAACGTAAACCATTTGCGTTAACGTAAAAAATGTTGCCCCAGTTTTCAATATTACTATTGTGTATCTATTTGTATGCTGTTGTGTGTTCATTCACAGATCCCATGATGATTGTAGGTCAGAGTAATTATTGGTGGGGGGGAAATCACCTCGGTTTTTGTGGTGGTGGGCAGAGAGGAGGGTCCGTTCTCGGCCCCCAAGGCACTGGAGGCTCCAATGGGAGAGCTTGGACCAGAGCCAGGAGCACTGTTCATGGGCGTTGAATCTAGAAAACACACATTATGCACGGTCACACAACGGTGATTGGAACCAGCCTCTGCAAGTCAATTGGACGCATTTGTAATAAGTTAACAATGCCTTTAAAAAGAGCTAGCTTGGGTTAAAATAGCAAAATACAATAGGACTGTAATGTTGATGTTGAACAAAGGATTTTTAAATAGGTGAAAATGTTGCTAATACTTGCTTATACCTTAATGTGGAAGGAAACATTTAATCAATAAAAAAACAATATTGTCTTAATTTTATGACTACCAAAATCGCAGGAATGTCAAATTTTGTTTGTTTTACAGGTTTTAAAGCAAGTTGTTATTTATCTATTTGAAATGTGTATGATGTGATTGCATAGATAGAGACAATTTAACTAACCCCCAAGGAATATTGCAACTACATAAACTTTAGGTGCGGTGTAAAATCATGTTCATTGTCTTAAAACAAACACACACAAACACACACACACAAGCACATACTCAATCAGACAAGACAGGCCGAAACACTCTCTGACCCTACACCTCTCTCCCATTAATCTCCTCCACATAGTTTGTTCCAAAATGTGGCATCTTGCGCGGAGATACACATCAATATTAAAGTAGTTTTAAATCCAAAGGGACCATCATCATCTGTCAATGGAGTCTGAAAGCCGTTGATAACAGGTACACGTACCCATGATCTCCAAGGCTCTCTTCTTGTACGGCGTCATGATGTTGCTGTCTCTCCTCTTTAGCATCGGGCTGCTCCTCCTCTCCGCCACTTTCTGCTTGAGCCGGGACCGCACCTTCAGGTTTGGCTCGGAGGCTGCGAGAAAATAACAAAAACAAAACAAGTTTAAATTAAAGAAATAAGAAATAAACATATTTGTTCTTTGCATAGCCTTGCAGAGTGCAGTAAACGTCCCTTCCAAACGTAGAAATAAAATGAATGGGATGATAATGCGATCAATCAGCTGGAATACATTTTGAAGATTTATGATTACTACTACTTCAATACTTATGTTGAGCTCCTGCACTTGAGCAACACAACTGGACTGAAAAGATACAAAATATTTACAGTATAAATAAAGTCAAGCAGTTGTGAATATCGCAGAACAAGGAAGACAAAGAGGACACTGAGGTCTAGCAAAGGGTGAAGATACTTATGTCTTTTTAGTAGCAAAAAGCTCTGGTGTCCATGATGTCCTATTGTAAGTTTGAGAGAGGAATATTTAGAGAGAAGGGCTGGGGGGGGGGGGCATCTTTGTACCAATTTATGCCACCCTCACTCATCAGCTCTCAGCCCAAAGCATCAAAGAGTGACTCTCAGGGTTCTATGTATGCAAATAATTTTATCTTCACTCATTTTAATTCCTTGTATTGTTTCTATTTTGTTTTGTTAAGCACTTTGAGTTGCCTTGTGTATGAACTGTGCTATAAAAATACACTTGCCTTGCTTAAAGCACAAATCAATGAAAATGAATGGCAAGAAAACCCAATGAATGGGCCGGACATATGTTGTTGTAAGTGCAATCTGCTTGAGTGGATTTCAGAGCAGATAAATGAATGGCGCTTGGACCGGGCCCGCTTCCACCTCATCTGGACCCAATTAGGAGGAGACCCTGGAACAGTCCTCCTCCTACCTGCCGGCCCGCACGGTGACCACAGCCCCGTACAGTAGCAACAGTTAAACTAACACAAAAACATGGCAGATGTTTCAAGCACCCGCCTTCGCCCTAATGCAAAACAGAACCGTCCCAAAACGCCAGTCCAACACGTGCGCCCGAGCCCAAAAGTCACAAATCAAGTCCTCGGCTGTTGAAAGAAGGCCGGCGTGAGACTTTTTCCAAACGCTTTTAAGTTGGCATTGACAGCTGGCACCAATAACGCAAACACACAGTTTCATTTCAGACATCGCTTGGAGTATTTCACAGATTTTTTCAGTTAGCTAAAACTGTCTAGTTTGCATTCATGTTGGGCAAACCTTCTACATGATGAGTTTTAATCGTAAAGATACATTTAATTAATTTTAGTGAAGGTTAGAAGTGGGAACCATGAGCATAGTTTCAAGAACAGTATCTTATATTTTCATTTTAAAATACATCTACATCTTTTTTAGGTATACCCAGATAATAGGTCTATATAAAAGTTTAAAGACTGCATTCAGACAAACACAACTGTCGGTTACTGTACTATGGTAGGCTCACCACACATAACACAACATATAATCAATTATGTTAGTTGCGTACACTATGTGCGTCAGTGGACCATTGTGACCGGGCTCATGGGGTCAGCCTAATTTCAGCGTCCCTTTCAGGCTTCAGATAGATTCATGTCGCACACTGACACAAATACAAATGAATACATAAGCCGCTCTATTGACCGGGAGCCAGAGCTTTCTTCTGCGTCCAAGTTACGTAAACAGTTATACAATGCACAACCTTTTTGCAATATTTAGCTCCGATCAATAATTAAACGCGTGTTTTAATGTTACATATATAGAAAGGAGTGACGTGGGGAGCGCTCCAGGGGTGCCAGATGCGGATGCTATTTCTGGCTTCTGTCAAAAGCGGCAAAGCAAAAAATAAAAGGGTTCTATAATCCTGTGGGGGGTGAGGAAGACGGGAGTGGGTGAGAGAAGAGAGAGAGAGAGAGCAGGGTAGATGAATGCACAGAAAGACTGCAGGGAGTCCGGTGAATCTGTTGCCTTGATTGCTTTCTATTTTTACACGCCGCTGCCACCAAGATACGCGTCCCAATTGGTCGCCACAGGAACACCAGACCACAGCTTGAGAACAAACACTTTCCGACTGCGGAGAGAAGGGAAAAACACGTCCCGAGAGCCCAGTGCAACAGGAGGCTGAACGATCTCGGCTAAATGTCTCATTGCAATTTTCAGGCTAACATTACCATAGGTTTGTGGTGTATGTTTTTAAAAAGGTTGTGGATGTGTTTCCCCACCTCTACCACAAGAGGGAAGTGTTGAATTTGTTGCTCGTATTTATTTTTATTTTTTTTCAAAATCAAACAATACAGCCACGCAGTTGGAAAGAATGTTTTTTTGTCAGAGAACTTTGATTTTAAAAGCAAATTTGATTTTAAAAGGCACATTAAAGAGCATGACATTAAGAAATTGCGCAACAGGTTTGAGATTGGGGCATTTGGACGGACAGAGCGGAGTAAGGTGTTTGTGGCAGAAGTTCCTGATATTAGCGTGGATGGAGCTAGAAGTAAATCCAGATTCTTGTTTTTGTATGAGGAAACATAAACCCATTATAGGAACCATACATCTAGAGTAGTAGGACGAAAAAAAAAATCTGAATTTATGGTATCTTTTTCTGAAACCAGGATAAGTGGATGTTTATACGTTTTTGCTCAAAGAAAAAAAATTATTCGAAATGCCTTCTTCGATTCCGATTCTTCTCGCGGCTCCACACTGAAGGCCAACGCCGGGGTCACTTCTCACTAAAGCAAAATATACAAGATGCCTGCTCCGCCGCGCACATAAATCAACCTGCTTATTGTGTTTGAAAGAGGTGCTGCAGGGCTTGTGCTCTGCAAGTAAATGTGTTACACTATCTCCGTATAATCAGAATTTTAAGCACGCTGTCACCGTCAGGGCCAGGGTCCATTACAACCAGAACCTGGACATATGGCCTGAAGGCAGAGCTAAACAATGGGCCGCTAAGAAGACGAAACACAAACTCTAATCACAAAGAACTCAAACATGTTAAGAGTGCCTTTATCTGATTTACACGTGTGACTGTTGTGCGCGTGTGTTTTACAGTGTGTTTTGACTCGCTGATTTTACATTGGTGATCTTAAATGTTGACAAAGTGAAGAACGTTGAGCTGCATTTAGTATGAACTGTGCTATGTAATTAAATGTGGATTGCATTTGATTGGTTAATGGAACAAGCTGTTTTAGTCTAGTTTAAAGCACAGTAGAACAGGGCTTTTTATATGTGTGCTGCTGTGGAACCGGGACAACAGTTGAAAAGGTTGGCATGTCGTTTTGACCCGTGTCGGCTTCATGTTGTTACACCGTCACTATGTTATGGGACTCGAGTGTAGTTTTATAACCTTCTTCATGTCAGCTACACATAAGCATCAAGCTATATAAAAGTATGATTTTATTGCAATCTACTTTACTGCCATATTTTGTCCGCTCTGCAAAAAAACAAGGTCGCAAGGCGGGTTAAAGGCCGAGTTGTTCTGACACACCAGTCTGCGTGTTATATCTTGCATTGCAATCAAAATGGAAGATGAAATCACTTATAAAACAGTGCATATTAGTTGCATAACTGTATTGATACTTGCTGACCTCAGATCCACTTCAGTTTCTCTCCTGGTTGTTTTGTTGGAGTATGAGACTTTTGGGCGGATTAGTCTAGATTAGTTTTAAGTCTTCCGTGCACCTGCTGAACGTACACTTTTGGTAAGTGGGCCAACTCCCGACAAGGTGCTGTGTTAAGCTGCAACTATTCTTATTACAGACTTTGTATCACGAGTCTCCAATCCGGGCTATTCTCGTCGGTAGAAGCGAGACAAAGAGGATGTGAGCGTATACCAGGAAAACCGGCTGGCCAAGGAGAAAGGGGCCATTTGTGTATTAAGAGCAATGGACTAAATAGTTAAAGAGTGCTATAAATGTTCACATCTTGCATAAAAATTGTAATTTGTCCCACAGTAGGGAAATTTCTGTGTTGCATCACCGGCTTCAGAACAGTAGGAATGAGGAATATAAGGTAAATGAACAATAACTCCAAACTAAAATAGAAAATAAAGAAATCTCTAGCTTTAGCATACTGAAGAAGCAAGTACAACATCTTTTGCTTTAGCATAATGAAGAAGCAAGTATAAAATCTCTAGTTTAGAATACTAAAGAAGCAAGAATTACGTATTAAATCTCTGACTAGGAAAAAAAAAGCTTCAAATAGAGTTGATAAAGATTTAAAATTGGATGCAATGTATTTGTCAGAAAAGGTATAGGACGATATTTCAGTGCTCATGTCTGCAATGAATTTCGCTTTGGAGTGGAGTTTGAATCCTAACCAGGCCATTCGCAAGTACATTTTTTACTTTAATGCTTGATAGACGTGAAAGCATGAATCATAAAATAAAACAATTATTAAAAAGAATTGAAGACAAATAAAGAATTAAATTAGATCTATGGTATTTTTTCTCAATATTTCTGATCTAACAGCAAACAGCACAAGACATGTTTGCGTCTGTTTCTGCTAGATATGAGCCATGAAAACAAGCAGAATTAACCAACTTAAAACAAATGAATCATATTCAAAGTCAGACATTGGTGTTTAGATTTTTGTTGTCATTAAAAGGCCTGAGTTGACGCACAAAAACAGACAACAGACCAAAGCAATATTTAGCCTCGACAACTTTAGTTATTGTATTACAAGGAAAATCGTACAGAACTGGCCACTGCTGCAGAGAAAAAGGGCGAACAATTAAAAATGTATCTCAAAATATGTATATCCTCTATTTTTTATTCATTATTCATTTTTTTATATTAATTTATCTAAAAAAGTTCCCCAAACTGTAGTTCACTAACATTTTGTATGGCTGGAGTAGATGTAGTGTTATATGTAGTTCTTGTACATGTCTAAAGGTTCTATCCCTTATGGAGCGTACGGCACTCTGGGTTCTCATACTTATAAATGTGCAGTATAATTAAACTGCACTTTGACTTTATATCTATAATAAAGAATACGTTTATATACAGCTGTATATAACTGCACATATATAAACTCGGGCCCTCGTGGTTGGCTCCTACAGAAAGCATAATGCGTGTCAATTGAGCCGGGGCCACATAAAGGTGCCATGGGGCCCTCAGGCTGCAGGATCCACGGGACGTCCGGGGCCTGGGTAGTCTCCGCTTCATTTATCTTTGCTTAAACAAACAGAACTGTCGTGGCCCATCCTGTCTCTGTGTGCCAGTCTGAGCACTGCACCTGCCAATCACGACTGACATTTGTTTAAAGCTGGGGTACCCAACTTTCAAATCACAAAAGAACAAACAATGTAATATAATCCACGTGACTAGTTCCTCGCTCTTAAAATAGTTTGGTTCTATCACTTGTTTTCACGTGTATGTACATTTGTCTTCTGTCTAATTTTTTTCAGACAAAAAAGTGTTAATGCATGTGCCAGTTAGACCCGCCCCCAAGGGTTCCTGATTGGATGCAATTAAGACAAATCTTTGATGGACAGCTGAGGCCGCTCATCATTGGTCAAACTATTATTTTTGTTATATGTTCTTTTTTACTGGTAAAGCTAAGTCCAAGGAGAGGAACTTTTTTTTAAATCTATGTATTATGAAAAATACTTAATATAGATGATACTACCGGGCCACATATTCAAAAATATGTATTGAATGTGTATTATTGAAGTTGGAGACATCACCCAAAAGTAGCTTGATTTTATTTTTTCCTTTTGCAGAGAACTGTATAAATAGCACATCCAATTGAAATCATAATGTTTGTCACAATTCTATTATTTAACCAAATCACTGGGGCCGCTTTTGGAAACAGCAGTACCTTTGTGCACGCCCCCTCCTTCCTCGCGTGCCAAGCTCTCCCCGGATTTTAATGAAGACAGACAGGAAGTGGGGGAGGAAGACCAGAGCAGGAAATGACCACATATAGATTCAGGAATTCAAAGGAACCAAAAAGTGTATAGCATTATCAGCGCGGCAGAGTTATAAAGGCCTCAAGACGATAGAGTGAAAGCTTGAAGAAATGATGAAGAGCAGAGGGGACTGAAATATTACTCTTGAGGTATTTGTGTAAATGTCTTTCAAATATATGGGGTTGAAGGCAAACAATACGGTCGAAAAGAAAAACAGGATTATTTTGTTGAAGAGAGACACAATATTATCCTGGGAAAAGTTCTTCCACGCACGTATCATATTTACAAGTTTCTCAGAAGAAGATTTGAGCAAATAAATTCTGGCTCAAGCCTCTGATTCGACCTCTAATCTGCGTTCCAGCAACACTCGGTTTATTTTCACAAAGGTAATTTCTTAACCCCAGCTCTAAATTGCATATATACACAACATGACAGGTCTGTAGTTAAATATCTCACCAACTATAAATGCTTATCAGTTTAATGAAAAGAGACGTGCAGGGAAAGGTGCATAATGTAATTTGGTGACCTCATTGTTGGATTGTGAAGTTTGGAGCTAGTGTTTAAACTAAAAAGGTAGATTATTTTTGCTTGTTTATTCAGATACAAACAAATGTGGCAGCTCTCTGCTGTGTTTTAACAGATCGTTTAAAAAATCCTGACAAAAATGAAAGGCATCATAAGTATAAGTGTCTCATAAGAAACTTTCATTCATACAAAGAATCAAAAGTCTATGTGTTCATGTCTGTAGTTTGGATGAGGAAAAGTGATGCAAAATAAGTCATAAATTCCTCTAATTTGGCTAAAAGTATCTTAATTTGAGCACATTTTGACCGCCTTCAAACAAGATTTGCCAAAGGGCCAAGCAGAATTTTTTGGTTCAAAAAGATACAAAATATCTCTCCCTTGGAATGAGGAATTATTGGAATTATTTCAGTTCTTGAAATAAGACTAAATGGCTTTGTCCCATTGGCAATCTTGTTTAAGAAAGTCAGACTGTGCTCAGATTTAAGCATTTATTACCTCATATTTTAGCATTATTTGCAGTGTGTAAGTAGAGTATATAGTGTGTGGGCGAGCACCGTGTCGTGTGCCAGGCTTTAGGGAGATTTAATGAAGAGCCTCGGGATAATGGGCCAGAGGTCAGAGGCTGCTCTGAGCCTGACTGATGTCATTAGTAGGTCAGCTCCAACCTGAGGACGCTCTGTTGTGTTGAAAAGCACCATTCACTGTGAGAATAAAGTGATAACTGTGCACTTACAAATGTAATAACAGGAAGAATGAATAGTTTCTATGTCTGATTATTTCTGGATAAAGTACTGTATGTCGGTAATGGACACTATTTTTGCACAAACCTGTCTTTCTCAAGGGGAAGTCGTCCTTGCTCTCGAGGGGCGATGGCAGCGTGTACTGGCAGGTGGGGGAGGCGCCACCCGAAGGTGGAGAGCTTTGGTCAAGAGATGTGTGATGAGACGACCTGGTGCACATAAGAAGTAAACCACAGTTCAGTTCTGTATTTAAAGACTATACGGTCTATGTCAAGGAAAAGAAATGAAACTTACATGTACCACAGTTTTGGGTGCTGAATGAAAGAGTGGTTTCCGTTGCTCACCGGGTCCTTTGCCGTTTTATTCAACAGAAACTCTTGGAGTTTCTGCTTGACCTCATTACTGGCCACTGCACCTGTGAGGCCAGCACACACAAACAGACAGATTGGGGTTACCCTCGGGCAGATGGATCTGAGGCAAAAGGAATCATAATGCAATAGATATAATGAATATGTGGCTATCCTATCCTTCCATATTCCTTTGCCTCTTTTGCCTTTCTCACAGCAATACTATTGCATGTAGAAACATCGCCCCCTTGTGGTGGATATATATGCTGTGCTGCTGTAGTGGGACTGCAGTGAGATGTTCTTTCCCACTGGGGATTGCAGTTGCAGAACACAGTTTCAAATTACCTGCCCTGACAAAGTCATAAATCTCCTCTATTATTAGCTGTAAGGTAAAAACAGAATGAAACACTATACCCAAAGTTATTTCCATCTATCTATTAAGAGACTGTTTTTCCTAAATTGTGAGCCTGCATGGCACCAAGTATTTTCAAGCTGTTTAAACATCTATAAGTCTTATAATGTCAGCTTGTTCATTGTGACAGAATAATATGAGTAACACAATGACAGCAGAGAGAGAGTGTGTGTTTGTGTTTGTGTGTGTGTGTGTGTGTGTGTGTGTGTGTGTGTGTGTGTGTGTGTGTGTGTGTGTGTGTGTGTGTGTGTGTGTGTGTGTGTGTGTGTGTGTGTGTGTGTGTGTGTGTGTGTGTGTGTGTGTGCATGAGGTGCTCACTGTCTCTGGAGCGCTCCTTGGCCCTCAGGCTCAGTGTGGACACATGCGTCTCCCTGCGGTGGCGCTCCTGCTCCTTCTCCTGCTGGTTCTGCTGCTCCAGGCGCCTCTCCTTCTCTGCCAGCTCCTGCTGATGTTTCATGGTCTGCAGTTCCTGCTGGAGCTGAGCACAGGACACAGTCAGAGGCGGATCATCTAACAAAGCATTTTACAGTAGTTCTGCAGTCGACTGCATATTATACTGCAGAGGACACTGTGCTTATGTGTGCAAACAAAACCCCCCACACTGACTGGATATAGTGAAGAATACATACAGTATACTGCATTAGATGCGTATATTAGCAGAAACATTGCAAGAATATATATATATATATTTATACTGTATATATATATATATATATATATATATATATATATATATATATATATAATATATATATATGGCTACAATCCGGAGTGATGTGTTCATTAACATGTACTGTCCCAACCAAATAAATAAATAAATAAAATATATATATGCCCCCCTCTCCACACTCTCAGTCACACGTCCCTGTGCTCAGACCTTGAGGTGCTCCTGCAGCTGGGCCTGGTGCTGTCGGCTCAGTTTCTCGTGTTGTTTCTGAAACTCGCTGATGAGGAGCTGCTTCTGGATCTGCTGCTGCTTCTGGATGAGGAGCAGCTCCTGTTGCAGCTGCCGCTCCCACAGACCGGGGTCTGAGCCGGGCCCCAGCATCCTCAGCTCTGTGCGGAGGTCCAGCGGTGACACAGGCTCCACTAACAGCGGGACGTCCGGCTTTATGTCCACTGTGACACAGAGACAGAGAGATGCAGTCAGTGAAGCAGGACTTAAGTCTGACCAGGATCAGTTTGAGGCAATCCTGTAAGAAGGCACATCTCCTATAAACAAACATAAATCCACCAGATCCTCCAAATCACTAAGCTGCAACTTCGTAGCTTTTGACATGAGATATATTTTTTTTCTTCATGTCTTTTGGTATATTTTGAACTAGTATATCTTCAAACTGGACGTGCCCACAGTCAGGCCATGTCTGGCCATGTGAGCGGTGTACTGTGAACAAATGCCTTATATAAAAAAGAACATTCATCTTTTGACAAGCACTTCCATTAAAAGCAAATGCAAGATACAGAACGACAGGGCACCCCTTTGCTCTCCTTGTTCTATATATAGAAGTGCACCAGAGGAAATCGATTGGCGTTAAAGTACATGAGCGACAAGGCTAGTTTGTCTTCCTAATCCACAGAGACAATCCCTGATCAGATGATAGTCTGAGCCTCTGGGGCTCTGAAGCTGAAGTTATATTTCGGCTGAATTTTTCAATATTTTCCAAATAATGTTTCTGAAGGAACACTTAATAGATACTAATACGATACACAATCACACCTTAGATATCACAGTGATGTTTTGAAGATGTTCCTTTTGGACATTAAGCTGCCATTTTTTTGCATTTTTTATGAAGCAATAATAACAGTATTTTTTATTAGGATTAAGAAATCCTTTATTCGTCCCACAGTTGGGGAAATTTCAGGTGGTACCACAAGGTATGTTTTTTCACACTGAAATATGATCTCACTTTTGACAACCCTAGTCCAGAATTCATATTTATAGCAAAATCTGTTCCATTAATAGGAGAAAAACAGAAGTATTAAAGGTTATGGTATGTGGGTACAACATACTCCATTCTTTTTCCTCAACCTGGGACATAAACGTGTAAAAAAGTGACACATTTCCGCAGCTCTGTGAGGTCCGGTCCTCTGCGGCCTGCGTGTTCTGCCCTGGAGCCTGTTTTTCATAGCCACCATTCCATGTGTGTGTGTGTGCAGTACCAACGATTATAAATAGCAACATAAAAGCAAGTGGCGCAATTCTGGTCTGTGACAACCCCCACGCCCTCTCTCCTCTCTCTCTCTCTCTCCCCAGTCTCCACCACCATAGCTCGCCCCGCTGCCATGACAACGCCTGCTACGCAATTATGTCTCCCCATCGCGCACGCACACATCCCGTCGCGCTGCGTGTCGTCTGTAACCCACAGAGGCACATGTTGACTCCTCTTATATAAGAAGGAGGAGAAGGAGTCCCCGAGCAGGCAATCAAAAGACAAGAGAGCCACCCAAACCCGCCGCCGCGTTTCAAAGTTGTCGCGTTTTGTGATTTTCAAAGAGGTAGAAAAGAAGTGGCAGTCCTGCACTTTGATGCTTCTTGTGTGTGTTCTAAAAAAAGCTCCGGTGGAAACGCAGGGATAACGCATTGCACCTGTAGAATGGACTTTTCCTGCCGACGGATAATAATAGAGAAGATAACAATGACAATGACAATATTAACCTCATTTCATGTTTTAGAATGTGGATAAAATCTTAAGAAATATGTTGGCAAAACCAGTATCAAAGGTTAAAAAAATGCTATAAACCTGCGTTATCCCTATGTTACCACCATTAGGAGGGGTAACATTTGTTTTTTGTTTATTTCCCAAATCTGATTGAATATGATTGAAAACAATATACATTCACTTGAGAAATTGGCAAAACTAATTTTGTTTTGAAAGTCACAAAACTGTTGATGTGATGTCATAGTGGTACAATAACTACTACTATTACAGGACTAGGACAGGAGTATTTGGACAGAAGGGGCGGAGTGACAGTTCCTGATGTTAGCGTGGATGGATCAAAAAACAACTTGAGCTCTGTTTCTGATGAGGAATAATGTTGTTGAGTTTTCTTACGGGCACAACTTTTTGTTGTACGTAGATAGTGCACACACTTTACTGTGTGCTTGAAATAAACTATAAACTGAACTAAACTGAACTGGTTAAAAGGGAGAAAAAGTCTAAAGCCAAAAGATATACAGTAAATAGTATGGAAGTAGCCTGAAGAGTTGACGCGATATTACAATTTTAATTAGGGCTGTATTTAACGCTTTAGTTGATCATCGAATTCTTTGGCGCAATAATACTTTTGATGAATCAAGTAGTTGTTGAGCCATGGGAAGACTGAATGGGGAATGCATTTCTAGGAAGACTGTTCTGTAACTTGTGATGGAACATTAAAATTTCCATCACATTAAAAACAAATAAAATCCGGGCTAATGTGATGTCACGCTAAAACTGCTTCATAGAGACTCTTTGTAAGAAAAGCAGATGATTGATTGAACACATTTCTTTTTACACTATTAAGACCATTCCATGTTACGAGCTGCAAATATTGTTGCATGAACTTATAATTCAGGCTGTGATTCGTTCAAAAACTATTTGAGTTCTAAATGATTCAACCATCAAAAACGTCAACATTTAAAGTAAAATGAAAAAATATATATACTCAAATATGTATTAAGATAAGATAAACTTTATTGATCTCACAATGGAGAAATGTACACAGGGTATGTAGTAATAATAATAATGCATTGGTTTTATGCAGCGCTTTTCAGGACACTAGAATATGCTCCACGTGTCATTATTCTTTCTCTCCAAACACGGTGGTGATAAACTATAGCCACAGCTGCCCTGGTGCACACTGTCAGGAGCGAGGAGACCAGTATGTGCCATCTGCCCCTCAGACCACCACCAACCATTCAGACACACACCAGACTCATTCTAGGCAATGTGGGGGAAGTATCTTGCCTAAGGACACAACGAGCGCCGCGGCCGCCCCACTAAAGCACCTGGTGTTCAGAGGTCTCCCATCACAGTACTAACCAGGTCCTCCCCGGCACAGCTTCAAAGCTCTGATGGGATCTGGCTTTTGCATGCATAGCATAATACAGCAATAAAAGTGATTATTAAAAGTATTTTTAGCTTTTTCATGTTTTTTCTGTTCTTTTTTAATCGTTTTGTAACACTTTTAAGTGTCCAAAAAAGTGCTGTATGGTATGACCCATTATATGATCATTGTCATTATTTGACCTAATTTTAATCATATTGAATGATTCAATGAACAATTATGTATGTACTATATTTCTGCTTATACGTTTGAAATAACTATAACCACGCTTTCTTTCAATTAGGAGTAATTTTTAAGACTGCATTATAGTCCTTTTTTCAGAGATCCACAATTGTGTCATGTTTAAGTACCTTCTTTCCACATCGATTGGTAAACTAATATCTGTTTAATAAAAAATAAAAATAAAAAAAAATAAACAGACAAAACTAACATTCTTAGACTATCTTTATTATCCATTAATATATGATTCTTTACACTTTTGTCAGCCCCTATAGTGACTCCCCTTTCCTTCCCATGCAGGGACCAAACCAGCAAGCCACACAACGAGACGGTTCTTTCGGCTAATGGACCTAAAAATAGAAGGGGAAAAAAAACAAGAAACACCTGCTGCTGATGGGGAGAACTCGCCACTGTGATAACTAATTAATCTCCTATTTGATTCGGTGCCCTGGCTGTGAGTGGCATTAAGACCACACTTTGATGGAGGACGCCACGCTGGGACAGGATGGAGAGTATAGGGAGAAGGAGAGCAGGGGAGAGAGGAGGGGAGAGAGAGGAGGGACGAGGAGGTGGGGGGTAGAGAAGACGGAGGAGAGGAGGGGAGAGGAGGGCAGAGGGGAGAGAGGAGAGGAGAGGAGAGGAGAAGAGGGCAGAGGAGGGGGGGTAGGGGATAAGAGGGGAGAGTTGGTGGAGGAGGGGAGGAGAGGAAGGGAGGAGGTGGAGGAGAGGTGAGAAGAGGAGAGGAGGGAAGAGGAGAGGAGAGGAGGGGAGAGGAGAGGATTGGTGAAGAGGGCAGAGGAGGGGGGGTGGAGGGGATAAGAGGGGAGAGGAGGTGGAGGAGGGGAGAAAAGGGGAGAGGAGAGGAGAGGAGAGGAAAGGAGAGGAGGGGAGGGGAGAGGAGAGGAGAGGAGAGGAAAGGAGAGGAGGGGAGGGGAGAGGAGAGGAAAGGCTTAAAACCCTTTTGATAACGACCGCAGCATGTGCCTGGTCTATTATTACTGCAGCTGCCCAGGTCCAGAAGGAGGACTCAACGTGATTAGGTTAAACCAATAATCATTAAAAACTAATTATTAACAACAATAATCTTGAACATTTTTGAATTTCTATTTATTTGTATATATATAATTCATGTTTGCTTCAATAGGAAGAGTCTTGTTGTCAGAATACAACATATTCTCTTCATCTGAATAGAAAGCATATGTTGCATACTTGTAAGAAAGAGCCCTGTGAGTCACAATCTGACACTCTGGGATGAGAGGGGATTGGCTGAGGAAGACTGGCTACCTCTATTTTTATTTTCTGTCTGAAAAATCTGAGCTAAAGATGTGACAGAGAACAAATACAAATGCATGTGAAAACTATCAAATCCAATATTCTTGTTGTTTGAAAGCGTTTGAACCGATTCCAAGTGCTCTGTATCTGCATTGTGTTCACATCCCTAAGTTTGTGGCATCCTCTCTTTCTCTTGTAACCTTTAATGTTATGATTTTACTCTGTCTGCCAGATTTTAGATGATTGCTTGCTGCAAAACCAATTTCCGCTAGTGGGACAATAAAGATAACTTTGAACTTTGGACTTTGAAGTTCCTGATTTTACTAAATAAATTAAAATTCCAGTGACAGACGAGATCTTAACTCATTGGTCAAAACTTCAAGTGGTTATGCTGAGATTTTGGACTATTCTAATTATATTATTATTCTAAACGTATATTCATTATAAAACATTATAATATAACTGTTATCAGAGCTGGATAAGTTCATTTGTTGTGCACACCAGAAATTCTTCCTTTACAATAGTCATAAGCAAAACCAATTTTCTGACAATTCTTTGCAGTGGAATTGAAACTTGTACGA